ATCTTTTCTGATGGCTGAGTAATATTCCATTGTATATATGGACCACATCTTCTTTATCCATTCATCTGTTGAAGGGCATCTCGGGTCTTTCCACAGTTTGGCTATTGCGGACATTGCTGCTATGAACATTGGGGTGCATATGGCCCTTCTTTTCACTACATACACAGATACATATTCTTGTAAGGATTCGTGACTATATTATATTTCAAGCCAGGTAAACAAAATCCCAGTTTTGATGTTGATCATGAGTAAATGCCTACGATTCTGTGATTTGAGTAAATAATGTAGCTATAAGCATCCATAGAGTTTTTAATGACTGCGTTTGTAGGTTTGGTCACCGGCCCACATGGAACATGGAATAAATAATTCACAGGCCTTAGTACTCAGGAGCAGAGCCAGACAGGAATCCTCATTTCCAGGATGCCATCCATCAGCCCTTCTCAGTTTGTGAGTGAGCATTCATAGACGGTCGAACAGGGCTTTACAGCTTTGAGGATCAGAAAAGTTCTGGATATTCTGAGCCCCAAACATCCCACACTGTTGTAATGTGACCCAAATGGACATGTTTTAGTCATATCTAACACGGAAGAGGCTATAGGCAATTTTTTTTTACGATGCCTATGTGCACATTTTCACAACGGGTGTCGTGATTTTTGATCTGAGAACCAGGAGTCCCTAAGAAATTTCTTCATACAAATTCTCCCAAAGGCATATAGCATTCTTCTGATGAGGTGATGGGGGTCTGAGCCTTCTATAGTTGTCACCATCATCATCATCATCATCGTCTTCCCCATCACCATCTTCAAATACCTATTGAGAAGCTACCCCGACACCAGGATCCTTCTTCCTATTCATAGGATAAATGTTTCCAAGTATATACAGGCGATTTGCACATTTGTAGCTCTCCTTGAGCATTCTCTAAAATAATAGTCTATTAATACTAGATTCACTGGCTCCTGAGCAGTGTTCAAATGGCCTTTATTAAACCCTTAGTACCCAGAGGTATCTGAATACTTCCCAGCTTTGTGGAAGTGCTTTGAAAGAAAGCTACGGTGTGCGTCCATGAGACTGTTGGGCTGGGGCATTAGCACTTTGATAACAATCTCTTATTTTGTTCTTGTGGCTTTTGGCAGAAACCGTATGTGTGCAAAATCCCAGGTTGCACGAAGCGCTACACAGACCCGAGTTCCCTCCGGAAGCATGTGAAGACAGTGCATGGCCCAGAGGCTCATGTGACCAAGAAGCAGCGTGGGGACATTCATCCTCGCCCCCCCCCACCCCGTGATTCCGGCAGCCATTCACAGTCCCGGTCGCCTGGCCGGCAGACTCAGGGAGCCCTTGGGGAGCAGAAGGACCTCAGCAATACTACCTCAAAGCGGGATGAATGCCTCCAAGTGAAAGCAGTCAAGGCAGAGAAGCCCATGGTATGTCATTCACTTTCCTTCTGCTTGTCCCCAAGCCATCCTAGGTCATTTTAGAAAGTCAGCGAGGGCTCGAGGAGGGACTAGACTGCCCAGGTCCTCACTGCGTTGGGCTCTCTGATTGAAGGGGTCAGGAGCTCAGAGACCCGGATTCCTTACTTAAGGTTCATCGGCATAGAATAACTCAGAAAAGAGCGTCAGGGTTTGCTAACTGGTATTTAAAATCAGTCTGGAACCATACCACATCGTGGCAGGTAGAAAGAAAGGCACGACTGTCTACATTTTCAGTAGACCTGTAATGTAGAAAATCAGCCATTCCGTCTTTCTGTAAATTAGTCTTTTGCTTTGTGCTTTGCCCTGGTGACCCTGAGATAAAAAAGCCACAGTCCCTATTGTTTAGGCGTGTACAGTCCCGTGGGATAGACAGACCACCAAAAAGCAAATACTCACAACTCAGTGTGATGGGTCTTTCCCACGAGTGTGTGTGAGAGCATTCGAGAGGGGAGCAAACCGCCAGCGCACTTGAGGATGTGATGGGGGCGGCGGAGTGGGTGGCCCTCAAGTTTAGCCCTCAGGTGGGGGGAGGCGCAGGGCCTGGGGAGCAGGGCATTGCAACAGGAGCCGTGGGGCCCCAGGACCATGTGCAGGAGTAAAAAGGAGTGAGGAGGACAGAGGTTGTACTTTACTGGGGATGGCGAATGACCTGGCACGGCTGATCTTTAGAAAAGCCAACCCCCTTTGCCGGGCTCGGGATGGGCTTGATAGACTGAAGACCATTTGTGCAGTGGTGCCCGAACCAAGGAGGTGAAGAGCAGGGGATGACAGAAAGCTGTCATCAGGAGAAATCATTCTGGTTTGGGGCCGTATCAGTCACCAGACTGCTATATGGATTATGCTACTGTTGCAGCTTCTTGCAAACTCCCTTGGTGATTTTTTTTTTGGTTAAGGACATGCCATACTAAAACGTCTAAAACTGTAAGAAAGGCAACAAGAAGAATGAAAAGAGTAGCTATCGGAAGAGCTCCGGTACCTTTGTATTTGGCAGCATACGTAACGGAGTCAGCTCCGCGAATGTGTTGGGGTCTCGTCCGGCACTCTGTATATGGAGGAAACATACCAGATAGAAGTCGTGTGCTTGGATTTCCAGATGCACGGGAGTGGTCAGCCCGATGTAGCTGTACTCAGTTTCAGGAAGTTTCTTCTTAAAATTAGAAAAGTCCAGCAATTGGATGGACATCCTAGGAGTTCCTGGGTGATGTCACCATGCAGCAGTACCTAGGGATAGGAAATAATGCACATGTACAATTCCAGAGTTGACTGAGTGGAATTTAATCACCGGTTGAATTTTAATGACTTACTGAGTTTGTTTTAAGAGTTTTAGATGGTGACGTTAAGTGTAGCCAAAAATAATACAGGTAAGCTATCCAGATTTATCATGACTTCCCAGTGGGTAGCTATATTTTGCTTTTAAAAAGCACCTTAGTCAAAAGAAAGAAAGAAAAATAAATATAAAGCACTTTAGTCAAAAAATAAAAAAATAAATAAAAAGCACCTTAGTCAAAAGTTGATGTATGTATTATGACTCATCACCATACTGTAAAATTAATCAGTTCATAAGCGGTGTTGTACATACTTTTTGGGGGGACCACATATCCATTTCCTAAAATAAAGTCCACCTGTACAAGGTGCAGAACATTCAGCAGTTTATCCTCAAGTGTTTAATGAAACAAGGAAAATGAATTTGTAGTCTCCTAGATTATGTCATCAAAAGACAATGATTTATGTTCTTCGGCCATCCTAAGGACCCAGAGCCTCTTGTACCTTGAATGTACATCCCTAGCTCAAGAAAACTTGTCATCTCCTCTCTAAACACCCACTATTTAAAAAGAAAATTGGTAGAAATAAGAACGTATAGTTATTTGGCTCAGTGACATCTGAGAGGCCCCAAGATGTGAACTATTTTATAAAGTAATGAAATCACAGAAACATAGGCTGGGAGGGATCATAGAGATTGAGACGAGGCTCCATATTTTATAGGTAAGGATAATAAATTAATCAAATTTCCCACAGGGGATTATTTTGTCTGTATATGTCCATACACGTGTAGATATGAATAGATCGCTTTGTAGACATTTACTAATGCATATAAGATTTACATGTCTAATATTCTTTCTTTAAAAACATGTCTTTGATCATCGTGCTATGAATTAAATTCTTTCTTCTTTTTTCTTATTAATTCCACATCTCTTCTGTGTAATGCTCCTAAATGTCTTGTTCTCACTTCCTAAGGACAGTGGGTAATAAGGTGAGGGAATTTTGGCTTCTCTGCTCTTTTTGTTTTGTGTTCATTTTAACATTTAACTTCTATGCATTTGGTTTTTCTTTAGTTCTTGTGCTTTGTGATATCTTTGGTAGAGAACATTACTCAGCTACATTTCAAACATAGAAGCAATGTGTTTTGACCATTCAGCATGTGGAAATGTGGAGTTAGATGGTGAAATTCATTGTTCTTTTTGTCTAGGTTTTCATAACAAATCATAGCCGGCCAACCAAGCAGATGTTCTCAAAGACTATTTGATTATCAAATTGACACATGTAAATTCACTTTGGGGCCAGACCGATACCACTCTCTTTGAGGACGATCTGGATCCATTTGTTGTTCGCAGTTTAATCTGTATGGAAATGTCTGACTCCTCTGAGCAGCTCTCTGGTCGTAAATGCCTTTGTGCCCCCTTCCGTGCCCTGTGGAGGCGAGTCTGCCGTGCATGTGAACGCACACACACGTGCACACACAGATTCACCGGCACACACTCTGAGCTGACAGTCCAAGAGTCAAAGACCTCCGAAGCCCCGCATGCTCCAAGTACCTTGGGAAGGAGCAGGTGGCCTGGCCCTCCAGGATTCTGCTGAAGCAAAACGTGAGCAAGGCTTCCTGAACTCACCATCAGATTTGTGTATCTCATCTGGCTCTGCTTGGTTGCCCAGGACAGACTCGGTGTATCACATGGCACTCACTTAGAAAGTGTTCATCTGCTTGGCTGTATGTAGTGTGGTTGCGGAACGAGTGTGAGGGGTTCTACTGAGAAGCCCTGTGCCGAGAAGCCCTTCCCAACAGTGCTGTGCACCCCATCTGGGACAACAGTGGGAGTCCGTACCTGAGTGCCTGTGGTTCTCTCTCCCTGGAGAACGGGCTCTTGGGGCTGCTCTCAGGTTCGAGTTGTTACAGTAACGCTGGAGAGGGCCCTGTGGTACCGGGCTGGGAGTCTAGGCTAGTCTTAGCATTGACTTTGTGACTTTGTTATTTTGGGCAGTCACTGAACTTCTCTGAACGTTGCTTTCCTTATCCACACAAAAGGGGTTATACTGTTTGTCAGCCAATTGAATTCACCAGTGCAATTTTAGAGCAGTTCTAGGTTGTGCAGACCGGTCATTGAGGGCCATTTTACCTGGTGTTCCCCCCCACCCCGCCAGACCTGAGGATCACCAGCTCTCCACTCCCCATCTCCCGGAGTCCTGGGGTGGGTGGTTCCTTTCCCTGACGGAGCTCCAGTGCCCTGGATCAAGTTTCTATCTAGTTGCAGAACTGGCTGATACAGTCCACAGTTGGGGTGAGGGAAACATTACCCTGTTCTCCCAGAGAAACGCCAGGGCACTTTAGGGGAAACGGTAAGATTATTCCCCAGATTCAGATGGCTGTAACCTGCAGCCTTTCTTCCCCTCTGGGTACAGCAGAAGCCAAGGGATTGAAGTTTTGCCTCTTACAGCTGCCTCTGTGAACAGCCTGGTTGGGGTTCTACAGAGCAGGCAGGTGTAGACAGAAGCGGGGAGGTTGCACAGAGCTTGGGGAACCAGCCCTGAGCAGCTCAGAGAGGGTCTCACGGGAAAGGAGGTCGTGTGTGCCTCGAGTGCCCATCTCCCACGGACGCTGTAGCCAAGCAGGGTGAACCTGCGGACCAAAGCCCCCTGGGGTCAGGTGAGCCGCGAATGCCTGCGGAGCCAATCAGGAACCGTTTCCCAGGTCGTTTTATATTTCGTGTGCTCTCTGAGCCTGACACTTAATTCCCGCCACAGTCCCGAAAACTGATTAAGTTGTCCCCATTTGGTAGATAAGGAAACAGGTCTAGAGTGACTGAGTATTTTGCCCAAAGAATCAAGTCAAGTCGTGCAAGTGGGATTGGAGCCGAGGAAGCCTGTTTGGCAGAGTTGGCATCTGGGGCAGGGTTCCGTGGCTGATGTCGTGCCGGTCACCGCCCACCCCCTTCAGCACGCCCTGCTGCCATTTCCACCCCCGCCCCCCGCACATCTGCCTGGCATCCCCTCAGCCGCTGTCGTTGAGAGAGGCCACCTCCATTCCCCGGCACACGGTTCTCCTCATGCCACCCCCGGAGCCCCCTGCAGGTCGAGCGTCTGCATGAGCTCCCCTGCCTTTCTCCTTCCCGGTGACGTCTCTTGCCTTTGCCCTTGACCCCAGCAGACATCTCAGCCAAGCCCTGGTGGTCAGTCTTCATGCAGCAACCAACAGTCCCCCATCAGCAACTATTCCAGCAGTGGGCTCGAGCTTCCTCTGACCGACGGAGGTGGTGTGGGGGACCTCGGCGCCATCGACGAAACCCCAGTCATGGACTCGACCATTTCCACGGCCACCACCGCCCTGGCCTTGCAAGCCAGGAGGAACCCGGCAGGGACCAAATGGATGGAGCACGTAAAACTAGAAAGGCTCAAACAAGTGAATGGAATGCTTCCACGACTGAACCCCGTCCTACCCCCCAAAGCCCCTGCAGTGTCTCCTCTCATGGGAAACGGTGAGTCCCGTGCCCCACCTCACGTCGGCCCCGGGCTGTCTGTTCGGTCCGCGCACCCGAGCCGCTCGGTGTGTGCTGGTGTGTCCCCCCAACCCGGTCCTGAAATTCTACCGTCACCACACACATCGGTGTTGCCTTTCTGGGAGAGTCCGTATTTTAAAAGCAGGTGGTGAGGGGATACTGCGGACACAGAAGGTAGCGCCCAGTATGCTCACTCTGTGTGTGACTCATGTTCTCGCGGTGAGATCATAACTGTTGGGCCGGGCTGAGGAACTCCCCCAGCAGAGACATCCGGGGTTAGCACTGCCATCCGGTTTCCCGTCTGCACCTGGGAGCTCAGCAGCCACCTTGACTGATGTGTTCCCAGGTCAAGGAAGGCCAGGCAGCCTTGCACGTCGGCAGCCCCACGTCAGGTTTTGCTTCTGAGATGACACTCACTGCCTGGAGCGTATTCCTAAGGGTGAAGCTCCCCACCGTCCAACCCAGGCATGCTCCACCTTCACAGATGTCAGAGGAAGCCCTGAGTAGATAGGACACTCCCTGAATGCCTTTGGCCCTGGACTTGCCTGGACCCGGAGCACTGTGCCCTGCACCTGTGAAGGAGCTTAAGTGATCCAGGCTGCGTTTACTGTTCTGTTTAAGCCGGGGTCTGCAAACTTTCCCGCGGACTCGTAAATAAAGATTCTTGGCAACGCAGCCGCACCCACTCCTTCACGGTTCCCTGGACTTCGGGGCCGCGCCGCAGAGGTGGGGGGCTGTGGCAGACACTGCCGGGCCCAGGGAACCCGAAACTGGTTTCACCCCATCCTGCACCCTGACCTGTTTCCAGTCCTCCCGAAATGACTGCACGTCTCCCACCCTTTTCTCTGCAGGCACGCAGCCCAGTACCAGCTGCAGCTTGGGCGGGCCCGTGACTCTTCTCCCGAACAGAAGCGACCTTTCGGGCGTGGACATCACCATGTTGAACATGCTCAACCGGAGGGACAGCAACACCAGCACCATCAGCTCTGCCTACCTGAGCAGCCGCCGCTCCTCGGGCATCTCCCCCTGCTTCTCCAGCCGGAGATCCAGCGAGGCGTCCCAGGCCGAGGGCCGGCCCCAGAACGTGAGCGTGGCCGACTCCTATGACCCCATCTCCACCGACGCCTCGCGCAGGTCCAGCGAGGCCAGCCAGGGAGACGGGCTGCCCGGCCTGCTCAGCCTCACGCCAGCACAGCAATACCGCCTGAAAGCCAAGTACGCGGCAGCCACGGGCGGTCCGCCCCCCACCCCGCTGCCCAACATGGAGAGGATGAGCCTGAAGACCAGGATGGCCCTGCTCGGGGACAGCAGGGAGCCCGCGGGGGCCCTGCCCCCCGTGCACCCTCCGCGGAGGTGTAGCGACGGGGGCTCCCACGGTCACGGCCGCCGCCCTCTGCTGCCCGCCGACGGGCTGGGCAACGGCGTGAGGAGGGCCAGCGACCCGGTGAGGACGGTGTCCGAGAGCCTCTCCCTGCCGCGGGTGCAGCGCTTTAGCAGCCTGCAGAGCTTCAGCCCTCCAGCGCTGCCTCCCTCCCTGGAAAAGCGCAACTTCGTGCTTCAGAACTACCCGCGGCCCGAGGGCGGCCAGCCCCGCCACTTCCCGGCGTCTCCCTGTCCGCCGAGCATTACCGAGAACGTCACCCTGGAGTCCCTGACCATGGACGCCGAGCTGAACCTGAACGAGGAGGATTTCTTGCCCGACGACGTGGTGCAGTATTTAAATGCCCAGACCCAGGCAGGGTATGAGCAGCCCTTCCAAAGTGCCGTCTCCGATGACGGCAAAGTGCCCCACGGGCCCGGCCTGGGGAGTGGGCATGGAGACTTTGACGCCCCCGGGCTGCCAGACGGCCACGGCGGCCACGCCAGCCACGCCAGCCAGCAGTACCGACCGCTCGAGCAGCCTTGCCCAGAAGCCAGCAAATCCGACCTGCCCATTCAGTGGAACGAGGTCAGCTCCGGCAGCACCGACCTGTGCTCTTCCAAGCTGAAATGTGGCCACCGGGCCGCGGCGCAGCAGGCCCGAGCCTTCGGCTTCTACAACAACGCGGGCGTCCACCCGCAGCATCCCTTGAGGGGCGGGGCCGGCCCCACCGGGGGGTACCCGGCCCTCGCTGAGCCCGGCAGCTCCTACGGCAGCCCAGAGCACTTGGTGAGCCACAGCAGTGGAGGCGGTGGGCCTGGCACCAGCGGGAGCGCCTTCCACGAACAGCCCTACAAGGCCCAGCCGTATGGAAACTGCCTCAACAGGCAGCCCGGGGGCCCCGGCCTGCTCGACGGGGCCTGTGGTGCCGGGATTCAAGCGGCAAAGTTGAAAAGCGCCACAGGGCCGGCGAACGGGAGCCAGCCAGATTTTGGCCTGTCGGTGGCGCCCAACGAATCAGCGGGCGGTGCCGTGAGTGGCGTGGCGCCCCAGGACCTGGTGGGCCAGGGGTACCCGGCCCCTCAGCTGCTCAGTGACCGCGCCGGCCAGCAGATGCTAGGGCAGGTTAGCGCTACCTCACACACCAACATCTGTCAAGGGCCGGAGAGCGGCCTGCCGGGGCACCCCTGTCTCGGCAGCCAGCCGTCCAGCTTGGCAGCTTCCAGGGGCTACCAGGCGTGTGCTGGCTACGGGGGCATCAGGCGCCAGGCCGTGCTGAGGGGCAGCCTCACTGTGCAGCAGGGACAGCTCAGTGACACCAGTCAGACCTGCAGGGTGAATGGCGTCAAGATGGAGATGCACGGGCAGCCCCATCCGCTCTGTTCGAACGCGCAGAGTTACTCTGGTCAGTTCTATGACCAAACCGTTGGCTTCAGTCAGCAGCAAGACATGAAAACTGGTTCATTCTCCATTTCAGAAGCCAACTGCCTGCTACCGGGGGCCAGCGCCGAAAACTCTGAATTACTCTCCCCGGGTGCTAACCAGGTGACGAGCACGGTTGACAGCCTCGACAGCCATGACCTGGAAGGGGTGCAGATTGACTTCGACGCTATCATAGACGACGGGGACCACGCCAGCCTGCTGTCAGGAGCCCTGAGCCCCAGTATCATTCAGAACCTTTCCCACAGCTCCTCCCGCCTCACAACGCCGCGCGCGTCCCTCCCACTGCCCGTGCTGTCGGTGAGCACCACCAACATGGCCATCGGGGACATGAGCTCCTTGCTGACCTCCCTCGCGGAAGAAAGCAAATTCCTTGCAGTGATGCAGTAGGTGTTAGGAGAAAGGCTGCCAACCAGCGTGAAACTTTAGCAGTTTAAAAGATTAAATGGACTCGGTTTCTTGCTGGTTTCTTGTTTTGTTGTTATTGTTGCTGTTGTTGTTTTTGTTTTTTTTAGTCCTGTATGTATTTTAGCAATCTCATCTCACCTAACTGGGATGTGTTTCAAGTATATTCCTTTTATGGAAAAGGACTCTGAACAACCCTAAAGTATTCTAGGGAGAAACTGTCTTCCATTTCAGTTTTGAATCAGTATTGTTACACTCGAATCATCCTCTTTGTTTCCTTTTTTTTTTTTTTTAACTGTAAGCCCGCCCCTCCCCCTTTTTTAGTAAACCAGTGTAAATGTGTGATGTGCATGTTCTTCTTTTCCAAGAGGGGTCAAACGAGAGGATTTGACATGTTTCTCTGTTACTCAAAGGAAATCGGAGTTGGTGTGCTTTGGACCAAGGGGTTACGCTTCCAGCTTTTTAAATTTTCCTTTACATGTGCTCTATGTTTCTTTTTGTTTTTTGTTTTCTTGGGTGTTTTTTTGGTTGTTGGGTTTTTTTGTTTGTTTTTGTTTTTTGGTAATTCCCACATTGGGCACAAGAATCAGATTATGGATAGTGAGTTGAAGAATCCTTTGTGGGTGGGCTCTAGCAGACATGACCAATTTTTGACGCACCCCTCCACCCCCACTCAGGTCAGGGCATGCTTTCAGTGGTTGCACACAAGCGGAAATTTGGGGCTCTGGCAGATGAACGAGTTTGCTCACGGTTGGGGTTTAGAATTCCTCCCGTCCGTCTGTGTGCTCAGGGCAGGTCCGTCTATGTGCTCACGTCTCAGTTGTCCACGTCGCTTCTCCTCCCTCTGTCTCTACGACCGCTCCATGTTGCTCGGCACTCCAGGGAGAGAGGGGAAGGGCAGTGGGTCTGTGACTTCTATCTGTTCTGGCAAGAAGTTAGGTAGATTGTTGAGTGAAGCTACTGGATAGAAATAGTTTGGGGAACATTTGTGGGTTTGCTGTATTTGTTGATTATAATTCCAGCTCTTCACCTGTTATCATAGATAACCGAGAATTGATTATATATAGTTCTAAGTATTTAGGTATTTAATAAATGACCCTGCAACTGGCTCTTTCATTAACATACGTTAATTCCACTATAGCGAAGGAGTATTTCTATTCTAAGTACCCTATTTTAAGGGATTTATAAAACTTAGTTGTAAAGGAAAAAGCTCACATACAATGACATTTGGAATAAATCACCTTGACCGTTGTTAGTATTTGAAAGCACTAGGGAGGATGGTTAGTAGATGTGTGGATGCCTTTTCTTACACCCTAGCTATTAAATGATGCATCCATTTAAGTTAAATGTTCTAGGCAGTGAGTCCTTCATGCGGACTGAATTTGTACTTTCGTTTTGGATTAAAACATTTAAAGACTAAAAAAGTGCAGCTACTTGCCATGTGCAGCTAATACACATAAAAGACATACTATGTGTGTACAGAGTACATGGATTATCCAGCATTTTACATTTAAAAATATGTAAACTATTAAAAATAAAGTACTAACACCTCAGACTACCTGCTCTTTTTTGTCCCATTGACCCTGGAAGTTGGATTTATCCAAAGTGACTCATGAGTCAGTTGTGTGGCTTTTTCCCCTTTATTCCTGCCATTTAAATTAGTATTCGACAAAGTCAAGTAAAATAAAACATGAAATGATAGGAAAAAATGTTAGCACCAGCCCATTTTTCTCACATTCATGATCTCTCATTTGGGCCAAGAAACTCAGCGTGGAGGTAAATTTGCCCTTTGGGACTTTGTGGCTAAGAAAGTCGGGTTTGCTTTCGACCGAATGTTCCTGAAACCGTTGGGAGGGGTGCTGAGACTTCTCCCACTGCTCCCCACCCCCATCCGGCACCGGCTTTTAAGTCAAAGGACGCATCTGGCTTTGGAACAGAGCCCCAAAGCAAAAGACAGTCACTGGCGTGAGCTCAGTGGAGTGGCGTCTACCACTTGGCAACAGAAAAGAGCCAGGCTCTTTCTGTGTTCCTCAAACAGGTCATGACCCAGTCACAAAATCAGTGGTCCGTTCCCTGAATCTCCTTTTTCCACAAACAGCAGAATCTCTGCGCCCTGATCTGATCTTATGAGCTCTCACGGTTTGGCCTGGCCCTGCTCTTGGTTTCCAATCTTGGGACCTGGGCGTTCTGCAGCCTGCTGAGTGAGGACAGTGGTCCCCGGGACCACCTTGCCCTCCTCCTCCATCAGAGTCCCTCCCCAGTAAAACTCCCAGATGTGACCTGCACTTCACAATTACCCTAAGTTCCTACTTTGCCTGCCCTCCGTGGAAGGACGGACAGCAGCTGGGGGAGGACTGTTGTCATCCTGTGCCTCTGCTTTGTCCTGTGGTTTCAGGTGTTTCTCTGCGTGGCTCCCTTTCTTCACCTTTTCATACTTGGTTTCCTTCCTTCCGCCCTTAGGTTTGCAGAGATAGTCCTACTTCAATGCAGTCTTTGGCTTCTCTCTGTGGAAATCTCAGAAAGACGGGGAAGCGGGGGGAGGGAGAAGGAAAGTGTACTTCTCCAGGAGTGCCACGATGTGACCCAACAGTCAGTGGAAGGGAGGTCTGTTGGGGCCACTTGGAAGCCTTCCGTCTGTAGACTTGGCATCTCCTCGGGCAGGACCCACCCCCAGCCTCCAGCCTCCAGCCTCCTCCCCACTTCTCCGACCCTCGCGTTGGAGGGTGACTACAGCAACTCACTGGGGTCCCAGCATACTTCTCAATGCAGGCTCGTACATGCTACTCCTATTGAACGTCTGTGCGAACCGTGTGTTTATTTGTTAAACCGTTTTGTTTTATTTCCTAAAGAGCTAATGAGACTGCACCTGCTCCTCATACGTTGGCTCGTCCTCTTGAGCCACAGAGTTGTGATTCTTGCGATGTATGTGCCTTATTTTACGTTGATCTTGTCAATGCGAGGGACCAGTTGGTGTTGCCCGATCGCAGCTCGAGGCCGCGCGCTCCCGGGCCAGCCAAGAGCACACGATCGGAGCGGAGTCTGAGCTGTCTTGGAACCTGGTTTCCCGTGTTGTTTTGAACTGATGGAGGATGTTCTCTTCTGACCAGTTACTGTTGTGTATCCCGCAAACGTGTAAAATAAAAGACAAGTTCATTTTTTTTTCACCTTTTTTAGATTTTTAAAAAATAAAATGTGTAATCCTTTTTTAAAAGAAACACATGTAAATACATTTAAGTATTGTAGGCATAGTGTTTGGATGTGGCCGGCCCTGGGCCTTCTCAGATCAGCCTGCAGCCATGCGATGCCCCCGCGCCCACCTCATGCCCAGGGCCACAGTCCTGCCACACGTGGACTCTACTTTTGCTTTCAGAACCACCTAGTCCTTTTGTAACAAAAAGAAAGAACAATGTTTCTTACAATGTCAATAAAAAACACTTTGTACTGAAATTGTTACGGGGTTGTTTATTTGATCCCTAGCTAAACGGAAAGATGCTTCCTTGGGAAAAACCCAGAGCCTGCATTGGGACCAGACCCTCCTCCTGCCCCCCACATACAAGCTGAGTGCACTTCCGCCCCGAGACTCAGATTCCTCATCCCCAAGGCTGAGAATAAGATGCTGGTGCACCCTGCCGGTGGTGACATGGGGGTGTATACCTGGGAGGCACACCAGTTGTAACTGTCATTGTTTTTCTTAATTTTATCACTTTGCCAAACTCTGGGGAAGGAGTGTGAATATGGCTCAGTGTCTAACCACTGAACTTGTTTCTCTTCTATAAATTATCCTCTTTTCAAAGGATACGGGGTATAATACATGCTACCAAAATGTTTGACGTGGTGGAAACCTACTTTTCTGTGGCTTTTAAGAACTAACTTCAGGGGCACCTGGGTGGCTCAGTCGTTAAGCGTCTGCCTTCGGCTCAGGTCATGGTCCCGGGGTCCTGGGATCGAGCCCTGCATCGGGCTCCCTGCTCCGCGGGGAGCCTGGTTCTCCCTCTCCCACTCCCCCTGCTTGTGTTCCCTCTCTTGCTGTGTCTCTCTCTGTCCAATAAATAAATAAAATCTTTAAAAAAAAAAAAAAAGAACTGACTTCAGACAGAAATGTAAGCTATTTCTCTGATTTGTCTTTTCTTATATATATTTTTTCAATATTATACTCTAGGTCACCATAAAAGCCTCTAAAGCCTTCTCCTTTCTCAGCAGCCGCAGCTTCCCCCTGGTTGTAAGGACCCCAGGCCTCCCGGGATGGTGAGTGTGGCCCTGGAACATGGGCTTGTAGCTACACCAGCAAGCCCCCGGGGGACTCCCATCCTGTGGGTGACGAATGTGTCCTCCCGTGCGGGGATTCTGCAATCATAGGGATGCTTCATGCTCTCCTAATCCACAAGGGAGGACTTGCCCTCCTAAATCCAAAATTCTTTGCTTTCATAACTAGAGCCCTCACATAAGGCATCCAAATGAATTCAGAAAAAAAAAGGAGGGAAAAAATGAATTTATACTCTACCTTAGTTATAAATTTTCAGCGTATAAAGATATATTCCACGTAGTAAGTCAAAGTAAAACAGGAAAAATGAGGCTCATGGAAAAGGCAGGAGGGAAATGGAATGCCCCAGGAATGGGGCACATCCCTTAGATGCAGTTAACTGCGAGCGGGCGGACAGGTGCGTCTCGCAGCTTGGGGTTTAAAACGCGCCTCCCGAGAAGGAGACGCAGGAGCAGAGTTGGGGGTAAAATGGTAGAGGTACAATCCATTCAGTATTTCATAAAGGCTTAAGTAATTTGGGGAATTCAAAGATGTTATACATCACCCAAATGAGAACTTCATAAGAGAGTGCTAGGATAGATGGAAGAATCAGTCCACTGCCAAAATATCATATTCATCCTTTTCTCCTCCAGTGTTCTTCTTTTCTTGGCAGTTTTTTTCCCCCTTTGGTTTTACTTCATAACGCCTTTACCGTTCCAAATACAATCTGGGCTCATCTTTCTGCTAATATTAGTTTTTATTTAAAAAAAAAATCCATTTTACCAACACAGGCCTAGATGATTATGCCTACCTAGGCATTCAACTTCTTCATATTTTTTAGAAATAGTCCTTGAATCTAAACTGTTATTTTCGCTTTTTAAAGTTTCCCACGCACTGTGTGGCCACACAGGAAGGAAGGAAGGCAGAAATGTAAGCTATTTCTCTAATTTGTCTTTTCTTATATATTTTTTTTCAGTATTATACTCGAGATCACCATAAAAGCCTCTAAAGGGTCCCCTTCCTCTTTCTGAGTAGCAGGGTCCCTTCCTTCAGATGACATATGTTTTATCTGATGAGCAAAGCGCAGTGTGCCCATAAGCATCTAGCCCCGCGGGAGGGACAGACTCGGAACCACAGAATACAGTGGCATGCCCAGTGGAAGATGATCAGAGGGAGTTCAGTTGGGGCCCTGTCCCTCGGAAGTGCATAGGACAGGGCTTCTCAACCTCTGTATTGTTGACATTGTGCCTCAGTGAACCTTTGTGGGGGGAACTGCCCTGTGTTCTGTGGGATGGTTAGTGGATTCCAGGCCACTGCCCACTAGACGCCAGTAGCATCCTCCATCCCAAGTTGTAACCACCAAAAATGTCTCTAGACATTGCCACCTGTTGCATGTGGAGAAAAATGTTTCCAGGTTGAGAGGGGATGAAAATACAAGAGGGACATACTGCAGGCAGGTGCCCAAAAGAGACTCGAGTACAGACCTGGACTCGGGAGCCTTCGGTACACAGGTGACGGATGAAGCCAACGCTAAGAACGCCATTATCGGGCGCAGGTGTGCGAGGCTGAGGACCAAGCCCCAAGGAACACTGGCCCCGTGGGCCGAGAGGAGGGGTGGGCACATGGGAAAGGGGGCAGAGGAGCGCAGGAAGGTGTGGTCTAGAAACAGGGAGGCGGATAATCAGGAGGCCAATGTGGTCAAAAACAACACATAGGTCACGTAAAACACGGACTGACAAATACCGGGTTCGGGAGTTAGGGCCCCCTGGGTGGTGGTGGGGGGTGCCTGGGAACAGAAGCCACGTGGCCGCCGCTGAGCACCGAACAACAGGGGGATTTGGTGGCCTCTTCTGAGCGGTGTTCCTGAGGTGGGAGAAATGGGCACGCCGCAGAGTGTGAGATACATACTTTCAAGGGAAAGGAAAGACAGGGGGTCAAGGAGAGGTGGAAAGTGGGATTTTTCTTATGATTCTTCCCCTTCCTTCCTTCCTTCTTTCCTTCCTTCCCTCCTTCCTTCCTTCCTCCCTCCCTCCCTCCCTCCTGTCCGTCCTTCTTCCTTCCTTCCTTCCTTCCTTCCTTCCTTCCTTCCTTCCTTCCTTCCTTCCTTCCTTTCTTCTGTCATACAAGAGGCCTGGGTTCATCCTCCAATAGGAAAGAGGCAGAACAGAGGAGGTGGTTGATGTTACGGGGAACAGAACAAGCATCCAAACTGACTGGATCATTGGACAGACGCCTGCCCTTCTGGGAAAAAGGGATAGGGATGAGAATGAGGGCAGGTTTAGACAGATGTGTGGAATGGAATTTACTGGGGACAAGACTGAAGTGGGAAATTATTTTGATCTTGTTGGGGAAACTAACTTTTAAAGATTTTATTTATTTATTTATTTATTTATTTATTTATTTATTTATTTATTTATTTATTTATTTTAGAGAGAGTGCAGGGGAGGGGCAGAGGGAGAGGGAGAGGCAGAGAATCTCAAGCAGACTCTAGGCAGACTCTAGGGCTCGATCTCACCGCCCTGGGATTCAGGACCCTGAGATCATGACCTGAGCCGAAACTAAGAGTCAGAGACTTGACTGACTGAGCCACCCAGGCGCCCCCAGGGAAACTAATTTTTAAACCCACCTTGGGTAGCTCAGTCTGTTAAGCATCTGCCTTCCACTCAGGTCATGATTCCAGGGTCCTGGGATCGAGCCCCACATCGGGGTCCCTGCTCAGTGGGAAGCCTGCTTCTCCCTCTCCCACTCCCCCTGCTTGTGTTCCCTCTCTCGCTATGTCTCTGTCAAATAAATAAATAAAATCTTAAAAAAAAAAAAAAAAAACCCACCTTTGGCAGGTATGGACAGTTGGGAGGGGAGGGGACGGGAAGAGGCACCCTTGGACTCACACAGGGCCCAGAGCTGCTCTGCTCTAGGGAAGCAGGAGAGGGGGCCAGGGAGGGGCTGCAGCGGGCTCTGCGCTATGGGCCCCAGCTTCTTCCCACTCCCCAGGAGGCGGACTCCATCCCTGCCCTGCAGGCAGAGCATGCCTATGGTAATGATGCCCAGGACCCATAGGGTTTCATCACTGGCTCTTCACCAAGTAAGCAAGGAACTTTACGTGGAAGCCCCGGTCAATGGTGCATAGGGCTTAACTGTTTTTCATGTTATAGGACTGTTCTAATAAAGTACCCACTTCCCCACTCCTGCCTGGGCTTGCTGCCTGCCAGAGGTCTGCAGGCCCAGCTCACACCACTGTGTTGCTTCTGGTGTCCCCTCTGCTTGAGCCTGCCCAGGCCCCAGCTGAGTGAGCAGCGGGAAATGGCCTGGCAGGCTGGAGGGCGCACCATCAGCGGGGCCCGCCTCACCGGAGGGCCTCCTGGGGGACCAGGGCCTGCTGCATGACCACGCTGGGGGAGGGCAGGGTGCGTGGACTGGCTCTGCTCTTCCCACAAGGCTCTGTCTAATTAGCATGTTTGCTCAAGCTCCATCTAGAAGATCCCCTGGTCACTCCAGTTAGAGGCAGCTAGAACCCTATCCTGTCCCTGATTTTGAGAAAGGTCTAGCCTTGAAATGTGGGCCTCTGCTACCAGGGGTGAGAGAGATATTGTGGGAGTCACCTCCCTCCTAGCTCTGCATGCTCAGACCATTGAAGGAAACCCTCAGATGGGCGTTGGTGGTATTTAGGACCCAAGGCGTCACTCCCAGTGTTCTGCAAATGCCCTCAGCCACTGGAGATCTCCTGAGATGGAAGTCTGCCTTCTCTGAGGGCAGCTGAAGGGGATGCAGGAAGAGAACTCAGTGGTCCACTCCTTTGCTCAGCCGACCCTCCAGGACCTCCACTCCTGCAGGGGCCTCCCAGGGGAAGGCCTACCCGCGCTGAGCAGCCAGCAACCTGGTGCGGTTTGAATTCTGCGGGTCTGAGGATCCCTGTTGTCCCCCTGTGGCTGTGAAGCCTCCCAGGCTCTGAAGTTCTAAGTGCTAGGGCCCCACGTGACCCCCCGCTCAGAAGCTGGGCTGCGGATCCTCGAGCTGGGGGCCCTCGGGGCTTGCAAGAGCCAAACACACTGCGGAGGTGTGATTCACTGAGCTCCCAGAGAGAAGGGAGGCAGCCAGCTGGAAGAGGCTCACTGAACAGCCGGGCCAAGGAATTCCATCACTGTTTGGAGGGAGACGAGCAGCTAGCTACCACCCTTCTCCTCCCTTGCTGAGGCACAGAGGTGGATGT